GCTATGAAAGCGGATAAAATCTCTCCCCAAATTAGGGTGCGCTCGCGCTCTATCTCTCTCTCTCTCTCTCTCTCTCTCTCTCTCTCTCTCCCTCCTTACCGTTAAGTAACTTGTGCATTGTTTTATTTACTTGTTTTTGACACAACCGACCGAACTACAAGCTTTCCAGTGATGTCTGTGAGAAAGGCATATTCACTCGACAAGCTCGCACATCTGCGCCGCCGCGCACACAATCCACTCAGCGTGCTTAGCTTATCAGCTCATGCACATCAGCAATACAGGCGTTAATACTGAATGTTTAACATTATATTCATTGCATACATATACTTCGTAGACATCCTTAATCTCTAATAACTCCATTCTGCTGTCTGTTGTTCTGTTGTTGGTGTTTCTTTGTCTGAATATGGCACTTATCACATGCTGTGTGGTATAGGCGTTTGGTATCGGGGCATTTTAACGAGTATGAGTACGAGTACAAGAGCTCAGTATCGGGCCGATACTGATACCAGTATCGGTGCATCCCTACTGATAATTTAAACTAATTAATGAGTTTTAATCATAACATCGCTCTGAACTGCAGTAAACTCTCCTCACGGCACAATCAGAATTATGCAGGAAATATAAAATATATCACAGAAAGCACAAAATATTCTAAACAAGAAGAGTCAACTGAATGTGTTAATTTCATACAATTTAAGTGTTATAAATTAACATATCAACTCATGCCCCTTACTCATACACAACCACAGACAGTCCTTGTCTATTCAGTGTCATTCTCACCTGACAATAATGTGGCATATTTTCTTAGCAAAATATTGCTGTACGCGATTGCCATTATTTTGATTAATTAATGAGCATATCATGTAATGATTTCAATAACAATTTGAATGGATTGACAACCCTATTCTAAATATATTCCTGACTGGAGAGTCATTGGTAGACTGATATTCATGGTGGTTAAAAAACCCTGAAACACTCACTAGAATGTAGATGCTCTTGCCAGTCCCTGTGGGGCCGACAAAGACAGTGGGCTTCTGATGAGTGATGAGCAGCTTCATGAGAGCAGTGTAGCGTACAGTGTTCTCCGTAGGCACAATTATTTCGTTGAACTGCACATCTTTGGGGATGGGGGGCAAAGCCTTCAGCTCCTCAGTCCACAACTCCCATCTGCCTGGACCCTGTTAAGAGTATCATTGTTCATGTAAATCATTTTTTAATAAATAATTTCAATAAATCTTCTTGTTATTGTTTTTATGGTGTTTTGTTTTCCTGTCCTTCTGTGTGTCTTAAACAACAGTGTAAATTAACACTGCATTGTTTTCAATTCCACCATCATGACACCCTTTGAAATGTCTTCATGGTGCACTCTTTGTAGAAGTCTTACATACACGACAAAATAATTATGGGCTTGTTCATGGTCCTGTCTGTTCAGAAAAAAGGCTTTTATCTACAGCAGAAAAAATGTAAGCAATGGATAATCCATTTCTTCTCTAATAAATGACATTTTCAGCATTTAATGAGGCGTGAAATTGGCAAATTAGTCCAGGTTATGCCTGAAGTTTTATCACACAGAGATAAAGCTTGTGATTTACAACAAATAATAAGACAGATTACCTCATTCAGGATGAGGAGGGTATGCTTCCTGAGCAAAGAGTGAATTTGCTTATTAGGATTTCAGGATGAAAAATACAAATAATCAAATTCACATGCCTCAAGCTCCAGGAATTAAGTGGTTGATTTTACACTTTGAATGTATTCTAAATATAGAGCTAGCCAAGATGGATATTAGAATTGCACAATTGCTATCTAGAAAGCCAAATTGGGAAAACATCTTTGAGAAGCTGCAGGAAAGTGGAGATAATTCTATTTAATACAGATACTATAGATACAATATTTAATAACGATTGCAATAATATTAATTTTGGAATCTATTATTACATATATGTAGTTTATTATTACTTCTTTAAAATGATTTCACTTTGCCCATATTTCATTATATAGAACATATATGTGAATCTGATCATTTACTCTTCATCAAATGGGTATGTGACATAACACGTAAATGGGCTTTAGTTTAAAATGTATGTGAACTGATAAAAGAAAGCATATATCTTAGGTCCCGTAACTTGTTACTACCTTTTGACTATTTATATACAACAATTAACCATGCTTTATTCTAAATAGTCCTTTAATTTTTTTAATTACTAATAATGCATGTATTGAAATAATATAAGGACTTAAAAAATGAATGTACAGTAATTATTAAAGAGTTAACAGAATGCTGTTTAGATGCAGGCATGATTCTATTTAGATGGAGTACAGTCTTTCACATCTTAGGACATCAACTTTCAAAAAGTATTTCACGTCAGCTACCTAATTACCCCTCAAAAAATTAGGATAGGAAAAAAAAACTTCCCAGAAGAGCCCAATCTGTTTCTCTCTACATATCCACCCAAGTGTGTTGAAGAAACTTCCTGACCTCTTTGAGGAAGCGGTATTCATAGAGCGTGCCCTCAGTGGGTAAAGACACCGTCAGCTGCTTGGCGGGAGGCACCACGTGCTCCAGGATTCCATGGCGTGTGCGCGTCTCTTCACTAAGACCACCTGCCAGCATCTCCCTCACCAAGCCATCGAATTTTACCCTTCCTGCTTCAGTGCAGCTGGCCCCAACTGACCACACAAGGCAAAAAACAAAGATGCCCTACACAGAAAGTAAGAAAAACAATGTTTTCATGGAATAGGAGGGGTCAAAGCTAGTGGTACGTTGTTGTGACTAACAAACAGCTCAGTAAGATCTTAATGTTGACCTCTCATAAGCCCATTTTTAGGTATCATGTATTGGGTTTTTAATACATTTTCTAAATCATTACTTCCTCCATTGTTGTTTTTAATCACTACGACCCACTGCTGACCTTCTCAGAGCTACTAATCCAATCAATTATTCAAAAATATTCCTTTACAAACTCAATTGCACCTTTAGATCAATCGGCTGCACCAATGACAATCTATACAAACACAGCCGCCATTGATTTAGGGCAAAATGCTTTGTGCTCTTTTGGCGTAAACAAACAAACAAAACAAAAAAGCTTTAAGAATGTGCAATACTCTGATGACCAACTAGGAGGAAGCAAATAAAGTCATTCCTATCTGGGAGGAGGGATACTTTCTAAGCATTGATCCTGTACCAGCTAATCAATGAGACTCTCAGTCTAGGTTGGCAGTTTTTGATCTACTGATATGATCTCCGTCTCAGAGGAGCAGAAGGAGAAAGATTATTACATTTAGAGGAGAAATGCAGACAGTCTTGACTTCAGACAGCACAAAAAATGGCAAAAGTTGCCTTTGGCTTAAGAGATGACCTTTCAGGGCACTAAAGCCAAGATATTTGTAAGAAACAATTAATATGAAAACTTTGCAGTGGACCACACAAACTGAAATTAAACTTACATGCTTGTGCAACCTCTCTTAAAGGGGTCATATGATGCAATTTCAATTTCATCCTTTCTCTTTGGAGTGTTATAAGCTCTTGGTGCATAAAGAAGATCTGTAAAGTTGCAAAGACTAAAGTCTCAAATCCAAAGAGATATTCTTTATAAGAGTTAAGAGTCAACCACACCTACCTAAAACGGCTCGTTCTAACACCCCCCCACATGCATAACGTGCCCAAATGTTCACGCAAAGAAAGAAGGCATTACTTTGATTCTTGCTGTAGTATTGCTGTTGCCGTGTGTTTCCTTGTGAAAGTGAAACTACTTTGTTTGGCCTTCCAAAAGAGGATGATATCCGCTTTGTCATGCCTAGAGCTGATCCGTGCTGGTCGCTGAGGAAATATATCAACTTCGCGCTGTGGATCGCCGGATCGGCTTTCACCGTGGACAAAGCGGAGTGCAGCCCGGGGTCATCACATGTGGTTGCCGCCAGCCCGCCGCTCACCCTAGCCGCCAGCCTCTGCTCACTCAAGCCCGCCGTGTGTTTCGTTGTGAAAGCGAATCTACTTTGTTTGGTCTTCCAAAAGAGGACACAACTAGAAATCAGTGGTTAAGTTGTATTTACAACACTGTTCCAGAACAGTTCAACCAAAATATTCAGATGTGTGCAGCACATTTTATGGAGGACTGTTTCCTGGGAGAGTAGACTACAATGCCGGCTGTTCTGACTCACAGACTGTAAGTAAGTTTTTCATATTTAAAGGATTTGCCACTGATGATTCAAACGTGAGTTTTGAGCAGTGTAGAGTAGCGCTTGTTGTTTGTCATTTCTCCGATCACAAATGCAGACATGGTTTTATGTTTACACGGCGCGATGCAGCGCAACGTGTAAAAAGACAGTCTAAATCATTATAATGGATGCAACAAATGCCTCGTTTATAATGGGTTTTAATGTTTTTGTCCTCTTCGCTCTGGCTGGGACACGGCATCACAATATGGTAAGGAGCATAACATTTCCGTCACACCCTTGAGGTATTCGGCCAATCACAACGCACTGGATAGCTGGCCAATCAGAGCACACCTCGCTTTTCAGACCGATGAGCTTTGTAAAAATCGATGCGTTTCAGAAAGGCGGGGCATAGAGGAGAAACAATAATGTACAGTATGTGGAAAATAATGTGTTTTTTAACCTTAAACCGCATAAACACATTTCATTACACCAAATACACCAAATAATGTTATTTTTAGCAACATCATATGACCCCTTTAATGCATATTAAAACTCCAGCACAAACTAATTTATCACAATTAGATTTTGAAATTTTCTGATGAAAATGTGAGTGGTGCCTATGCAAAACAAACCTTCATGATGCAAGGTGTTGTGGATGGTTGCTAGGACATTGCTACTATGTGTTTGCTAAGACATTTTGCTTGGTTGTTAGTGAACTGCCTCAGTGCGGGCTCAGCAGAAGTGTGGATTGATTTCTGTTACACAGGGAAAGCCGCAAGCGTTGAGTGTCCAACATTCCACAATTCATCTTTTTTACTTTTTATCTCCTTACCTCAAGCCAGGAGCACACATCTCTCTCGCTCATCCCCTTTATCTGGCTCTCCTCTCTGAACTCATCCATCATGCAGTCCATCAGATTCATCAGAGACCTCACCAGGCTCGTGTTGGACGTAGGAGATAATTCCTGAATGCCCACACAAAACATACTCCATTAGTCTGGACCAAGAACCCGTGGCTAAATGATTAGTGGTATGCCATTATACTGGGCAAAACTATCTTAAAGTTACACAAGACATGCTGTGATTTTGGTTTGCTGTGTGAGATAATAAATAATAGCTGGCTAGACAAAAATGACAAACAAGGTTGTGAAGAAATGTGGCATTTAAATGAGTGGAAGAAAGTGCTAATCTGTCAGACAAAAACTGTATTAATCAAAGTGCACTGTAAGCACTAAGAGACAAAACAGGAATGTCTGGAAAAGTAGCATTAAAAAAAGAAAGCATGTAATTAGTGCTTTATCCCAGTGTTTCCCAACCGGGGTGCCGCGGCCCGTCTGTCGAGAGCAGGGGTGCCGTGTAAAAAATACCTTTTATTTTTTTAATATATTTTTAAAATGCTAAAATGTTCAAAAAAGCATCTATTATATAATATCCATTTCTGATGTCACCAATAATTAGAGATGCACCGAAATTTCGGCTGCCGAACATTAGTTCACCGCTCAGGTCAGGTTTCACTTTCACTTGATGTGACGCTCTGCGTATTATCCGCTCTATGCGTGTGCGCTCCGCTCAGTCGCTCCACTCGTATACCGTTCATGTGAATCGGAACAGCAAAGTCCACTCAAAAATTGAGCCGACAGGAAACATCTATGTAATACAGTATTGTTTCTGTCTGCAATAGCCCTACTGTGTTGTAACAAGGTGTGGTAAATGGGCAACTCTGGTAACGCTGCCCTCTCATTCATGGATCTGCTAACCGCTATGTTATGCTCACGTGTTCTGATAATAATAGCTTTCTAGGACTAAACATTATTTGGATAATTGGTGAAAAAAAAAAAATCTCTTAATAGCCCTACTGTGTGTTAGACCTACCCGAAAAACTAAAAAGCAATTTATTTCATTTGTAGGCCTATCGTGATTTTTTAAATGTGTGCTATCATTAGTAATTTCTTTATTTGTTCTTATTTTATTACTGACTGCTTACTTGTCATGTTTTATTCAATTCAAAGTTTGAAATCAAGCTATCTCGTGCTACTGCACCAAAATTACCCCACTGTAAAATAAAAAAAACACTGAGTGAGCAAAAATTTGTGAGATAGCTAGTTATAATGGTAATTAAATAATGATTACATATGTATAAAAGCCTACATTAAAATCTGTCATATAAATAGGTCTTTTCATTAGAAATTAGCCTACTGATTGCCACCATTGATGGACACATTTTTTTAATAATATTAAAAATATCTGTATGACATTATATTCTGCAGTTCTTCCCTGTTGTACCGAATAGCTATACTTTTCAAATTATCATGTCGAAGTTAGAAATTCAAATATTGTGAAGGGTGCCGCGACTAAAAAAAGTTTGGGAAACACTGCTTTATCCCATTCTGAGCTCAATGCATGCAAGCAAGCAAGCACAAAAGAACCCCTAATTGCAGAAGCATGTTATTATTAGGAAAGAAAATGCTGTATGTAATGTCTGTCGTTAATTGAGACCATGCAAGAATGTCCTATTCCTTCCAAAGTAATAATTATGTCATATAAAAACGAATGGAGTTCTTTTCTGTAGTATCACTACAGAATTTTTATGAAAAGAGGTCACAAATTCTTCTTCCAGCTTTACCTAAATTTGAGTAAGACCAGGAAAAAGGAAATATTCAGGCAGTTTGAAGAAAATATAATATTAGTTAAGGGATGATCTACAGTTATCATCACAAAATAAACCTCAAGGCTACCGGTAATTAAGACCCAATGCAAAGTTGAAGGGTCTTGTATCATCCTAAAGGGGTTTATTTTGAGCTTAAGAGAATTGGGAACTGGCTGAAATAATTTGTCAATGCTTCACATGAGAAGAATAACAATTTATGAATGTGGAATTTAATATCAATATAATTAATGATCCCTTTTAATTCTGTGGCAAAGCACTCCTCATTACTTGCAGCATAGTTACAGCTGTACCTTAGTGCCTTTGCGGATGAGCTGAAGACATGCTGGCAGCATGCGGTCAAAGAGGCCAGTGATGAGGTCTTTGTGCATGGAGCTCAGGGTAGACGGCAAAGTGTTGAACCAAGACAGCATCAGAGGCCGCCATCCCAACATGTGAGGCTCCATGTAGATCATACCACAGCGAGATACCTGCACAGAAAGCAGTAACGTCCCAGCTTGATAAAAGAACAAATACACTACTAGGTCAGCAAGATTTTTTATAAATGTTTTTGAAAGAAGTCTCTTATGATTACTAAGGCTACATTTATTTGATTAAAATTAATGTAATTAATTTGCAATTACAAAAACAACAATATTGTGAAATGTAATTTTATATATATATATATATTTTTTTTTTTACATATTTTCAGCAGCCATTACTCCAGTTTTCAGTGTCACATGATCCTTCTGAAATGCATTTCTTATTATTATATATGTTGAAAACAATTATGCTGCTTAATATTTTTGCAGAAACTGTTAAACATTTTTGTTCTTTAGGATTATTTGATGGACAGAAATTTCAATGTAAAAGTCTTTACAGTCACATTTGATCAATTTAATGCATTCTGGCTGAATAAAAGTATTAATTTCTTAATTATACTGACCCCAAACTTTTGAACAGTAACATTTGACTAGACAATGTGACTTACTGTATGTAAATATCAAGAAGCAAGCAAACAGCACTCATTACCACAGTAGTCCTTTCTAAAGGATGTGGACACACAACTCCAAAGGGTACAAAACTTTTTATATATTACTTAGCCATCTGGAATGGTGCATAGTTCAAACAAATTGCATTTTGTTCATCTGCACAGCAGCTGCACTGGGTTACTCATAAAGATAAAGGTCCTCTGTGCTTAATGATTTGATGAATAGCACATCATCAAGGTTACGTGATGGAAACAGCTGTCGGAAAGCGGCTCCCACGAAAGGCCCATGTGAATGGTAGAGGTGTAAGTGAATTGCAAACTGGGCGCTTATGCACAGGTGTTAAGCCGGAGGAGACATCTGGGCCAAGCATGACCTCGAGAGCATGTTAGCTTGTTCAACTGAATTCTCATTGAACTTTGGTCTAGTTTGCAGCAGGCCATATGAGTCAAGCATCAATATATAAAAAGGAGGAGAGCAAGACAGAAATTGCGAGAGACAGATATGGGCCAAAGGGAGATGGTTTATGCTATAGTCAGGCCATCTTCGTTTTCTGTCAAAGCGAGACAAGATATTCACACAAATTTGATCTCTGTCTCACTCTTTCCCTCTGGCTCTGTCTCCGGCATCTACTTTGATCTGATCTGGTGACAGTCGCAAACACCACAACAAAACATGCAGACATTCACACACACACACACACACACACACTTTGATATTTTCACACTCTTTCCTTCTCCATAACATGCTTGTTTAATCTCTGTCATCATCATCCATTCTTTTGAACCAGAGCCTTCTGCCCACACTGGGCCAGAAAAAGCTGGGATTCACAACTATAAGAGCCTTTCCTCAAGCTGGGATGTGTGAGGCAGAAGCTCTGTCAGATACAAAGCCATCTTAGGAGAAGACACTGAGATAAATAAGGGGAGGAAATCGCGTTGGTGTTTCTGAAAGAACGAAATTCAGTTGCGACATGCCATTATGCCATTCTTGAGTAGGCTGGGAGAGGGGGGTAAGCGTGGTGTGGGTGGGTTATTGCCAGTGAATTGGTAAGTCCTCTTTTGACAGGTTTGCTGAATGACAACAGCAATCTCATTTGATGGTCTACTTTATTTTTTTTGCAACCCAAAACATCAAAGGCAGCCTTAGAGATGTCTCGTCTGATAAAGATATAACAAAATGCGTTGAGAAATGTGAGGATATATTTTCATCAAATTTCATCATTTTTATACTGTATTGTATTTAAAAGAAATAAATATGTGCACTGTAGGTTTGCCTTTGTAGGTGGAATATATTAAAGGCACATATTATTGGAATATATTGCAAATGCCTGCTGAAGCAATCCCAAAGTTAGAAACAAGTGGATGAATTTTGTTTTATAAGATCCGTGATCCTTACAGTCTTTCATGTGAGCCTGTCACAGTAATGGCATGTCATGTAATGGAGGCCTTGCAAAGAGGCTTTTATAAAGGTTGAGGCTGTTATGAACTAAATTGGACACAAAAGTAAATTTGCAGCCCATGTGTGAACCCCAGAGCAAAGTGATTTTTTTAAATGTGAGAAATAAAAACTATCTCTTTAGTAGAATATAAAAAATTCACTTTAGAATATCACTATAATCATAGGGCTTTTAGAATAAAGTAATTGAACAACTAAAGGGGAGGTCACACTACACTTTTCTTCCTATTGACATCCATTCATAGGCATGCAAAGACGAAACACTGGAAAAACACGCTTACATGTCACTATATGTCACGTAGTGACCTCTTAGATAAATTAAAAGAACACAAATGTTTTAAGCTTCATGTTTGCACCAGTGCAGGATAGTGCAGCAGACTGTATATGTGACCCTGGACCACAAAACCAGTCTTAAGTTGCACAGGTATATTTGTAGCAATAGCCAAAAATACATTGTATGGGTCAAAATTATAGATTTTTCTTTTATGCCAAAAATCATTAGGATATTAAGTAAAGATCATGTTCCATGAATATATTTTGCAAATTTCCTACCGTAAATATATCAAAACGTAATTTTTGATTAGTACTAGATTATAACTTTAAAGGCAATTTTCTCAATCTTTTGATTTTTTTGCACCCTCAGATTCCATATTTTCAAATAGTTGTATCTTGGCTTGTCCTATCCTAACAAACCATACATCAATGGAAAGCTTATTTATTCAGCTTTCAGATGGTGTATAAATCTCAATTTCGAAAAAATTGACACTTAAGACTGGTTTTGTGGTCCAGGGTCACATATTTTTAGATTTTGTATTTACTATTAATTGTCATATGTTGACTTCGTTTTTAAAAAAGATGCCCACAGAGTGTGACATATCATATCTTGACTGCTGCGGTATCAGAAGAAATTCTGCATGCTCAGTGTGACCACAAATCTTGATGAACCACATAGCTGTCATTGAAATGGTCATCTTACCGTGGCTGGTGAAGCCACCTCCAGGTCCATGGGCTCAAAGATAAGGCTCATCTGTGGGGACATCTGGATGATCTCTCCACTCATGAGACAAAGCTTCTTATTGTCATCCAGTACAGTGTTCATGTTCTCAATCCACACTGCATCCACAGGCCCATCAAAAATCAGCCACTTTCTGTCAGGACTCTGGTGGGGAGGCAGCAGACAGTCACTTCAGACTCATATTGAACAATCTAGCTTCAACTTTACTGTGTGCGCTGGCTTTGTCTCAATAAAATAGGTATAATTGCACATCATTATTTTTTTTTTTACCACTTTTACTTTTTTGCTGTAGAACAATGAAATTTTTCCTAGCATTTTCTAAAAGTTGTTCTGGATGTCTGAAGTTAAAAATGAGGGTAACTAACATTTCTCCAATACAAGAAAAATAATTATACTAAAATTTCAACACTGTCACATTTGTTTAAGCTTAAAATGCTTGCATTATTTTAACCTAGTTCTTTCTACCGATAGCTTTTCCCGCTAAAACGACCTCAATTTTTGTAACATGCCTTCATAGCCTCCAGCAAAAACAGCAGCAATCAAATATGAAACTAAGTGTGAAGCAAACATTTGACACCTGTCTGCTCTTATTATGTTCCTTTTTATTCCTCAATTACAGCTATTAGAGGGTCTAGGTTCGCTCCCCACCTTCTTGCTGTGCCAAAGACAATGCTCTACCATGTCATCTGCCAACAACTGTTTTAACGTAAACATTTCTATTGTAAGCCGGTGAAACAAAGCTTCAAACTGTAATCCTTTGTAAATGAGGGTAGGATTGCACTCTGAACAACATCAAAGTCAGTGGGTAAAAGATGGCACAGATTTTGGCTTAGTGTTACCATGGTGAAGAAAATAGAAGAGCTGCAGATTTCAAGCAAACAGCACTACTGTATGTGAATGTTCTTTGTTTTGAGATGGCTTTAGATTGAAGGCAGTGCATTTAATGTTCAATGCTATTTATGGATCTAGATTTTTCTGTACATGGAGAGACATTATTACTTTTTACTAAATCTTACACAATGTGCACTAAATGTGATGGAGCGAGGGATGGATGGATGAACAGATGAGCATAGAGACGTAAATAATAGAACTGATGCATAGAAGGAGGGAGGGAGGGATGCATGGAGGGATAAATGTATGTATGGATTAAATAACGGACGGATGATGGACAAAAGGAAAGGAGGGATTAAAGGAATGTAATAACAGATGTAAGGAGGGATGGATGGATGAAAGGACAGAGGTATAGATGAATAGATGGATGAAGGGAGGGAGTGAGAGATGAATCAATGGATGAACGGATGGATGGATGAATGGATAGAGGTATAGACAGATAGATGTATAGATGAATAAATGGACAAATAAGATGATTGTAATGAAAAGTGTACCTGGGAAGTGGCGAATGCTCTATAGCTGACAGCCAAGATGCCATCTGACCACTCATGGGACACAGGATCAAACTGCCCATACAGCTGGCCCATAGTGATAGACTTTGGGTTGATAACAGTGATCTGAACCCTGTTCTCCTCCATCAGTCTCTGCATTCAAATCAGGTTGGATTGATACTATAACACAACACTTCCACAACTTTTTGCAGCACTGTTTTCAATTTGACTTCATATTAGCATGTGTATGAATGTGCTTCACTGCAGTGATTTATAGCAGTACCATCACTAAATGTGTTGTCTGTTCTCTGAAAACACAAGAAATCACATTTCCTTTCTATAAAAACATTTTACTGACTTTTTAAGCGTTCTATTATGCAAAAAGAGCAGTTCGTATTGTGGTATTGTGATACAAATTCACATCCAGTTGGAACTGCTTGAGGAATGTGGGAGTCTTTGAGACTTTGAGAGTTCACATCCTCTGGGTACAAGAAAAAAGTACTCGAAAACAGTCAATAAGTAGGATAAAAGAACAAAAGTTTGAATCTTATGTAACAGACATACAATGCTGAATGCAGAAAGTTCTACTCCCACTGTGACCATTTGAGCAACACTAGTTTTTATACACAGTTGTCCGTTTACAGCACCTTCTCACAGATGTCATGTAGGGCTGCGGCGAGCACGCGGTAGGCAGACGTCTTCCCACCAAAGGGTTCTCCCACCATCATGAAGCCGTGACGCACAATCATCATTTCATAGATCTGCAGGATCTTCTCAGCAAAGAAGTCAGTGACCTGCAGGTTCATCTTAGCGCTGTTTTCATTAATAGCTTCAAGCAACACTCTGTAGTCTGGTTTTGGAAGCTTGATTCCAGGGAATAGATCGGAAGTGATGCCCTGGACAGATTCACAATGACTGATAAGTTAGTAAATATTAATTGGAGAATTATACATACATTTTAATGACTGCATATGTAGAATATATTGATACAGATGTGATACCTCAAATAATGGAAGGTCATGAGACAGAAATTTCGGGAGGTTGACATCAATAATAGATCTCAGCAACAGAATATCCTCATTCTCCTCTGGAAACTTCAGCTGTGACATGTTAAACACAGGGAGAGAAAGAGGTTTGACACTCAATAAAAGATTCGCTTGTGCCGTCACTTTTCCAGGGTCTCCAGGGAGAGAGTGGCATTCAGCCACATTGTCTTTGCTCATTCTTTACCATCACAGTCATTTGCAACTCAGACCTGAGGGGTTTAGAGCATGCCTTTGTCTCCAGAAGTAATTTCAAGATGGCAAATGAGTGCAGTCTCGAGTGTGATGGTGCAAAGGTTGTTGTGAAATCGACACAGGTGTATTCATTTGTGAGAACAGCAGAGATGACACAAGCAGGTGCTATTCAAATTTGGCAAAACGAGAAAAGCGAGTGGGAGCTGCCAAGGTCAGGTTCCTCCTCTGCCTATTTCAGCTCTGTGAGATTTGGTTTTGTGGCTTTAATATTTCAGGCACCTTATTGTCACACTATAAACACAGTAGGAAGTTCCAGTAGAATACAAGTTGTCATTCCTTTCTTGAGTCCTGTTTTATTCCCCATATTTAGTTATTTAGGCCAGTGACTGGATTCTACAAATAAACTCACTCATTAAAAATGTATGTAATAACAGCATTTTATTTAAAGTTGTCATATCATGAAAAATCTAATTTTTCATGACATTTTGAATATTAAACTCTTAAATCAACAGTATACTTCCTTCCCAGTGATAAAAGGCAGTATATGTACTATGGATGTTACTTGGTATTTTAAAACTATGCCCACCCAATAACAATGAGGAAACAAGGGCAAACTAGTATAGATACTTTAATTCATAATTCACTGCAACTGCAGCTCTGGATATCTTCTGATGAATCCCAAATAAGAGTGTTGCAATATATCAGTACTGACAATGACTGTGATATATATATATAAAAAAAAGATAAACATATAATATTTATATATCATAATAATGTTATGTTAATTCAACAAATACAATACTATTGTAAATCCAGCATTAGCAATATAGCTGACACCTTAACATAGTAGGTGGCGGTAATGCACCTTAACACTGGTTGAAACCCGTTAGAAAACAGAAAAAAGAAGACAGTGTGTTGCTACTACTGCTGCACAAAATCCCATAAGAGGAGATGACAGATGAAAACAAGATACTCTACCCACACCCCAAAACGTTAGCTCGTTACAGACACCCCAGTCTGCAGGAAGTGCCAGTCAACTACTTTTGGTATGCTTTTCTACACTTTTGTTTACAAACACCCTCTCCATCTCCCTATACTTGTATTTTGAGCGATTTTGTATTAATTTATTTAATTTTGTTAATTAATTAATTTATTTTTGGTGAATACACAAAATAAAGCATTATTTCATTAATTATTTTCAAAATTTCTATAGATAATGCAGTAGTATAGTATGGTGATGAGAATAGTGTAGTGAAAATCTGGTATTGTGACATCCTTAATCCCAATGCTAGAAACGTGGCTTAAGTTTCTATTTTCAGTGGCACAATGTACATTTAACCTGTCACAATACAATGAATGCTTTTCTTTGTGACTGTTATTGAAGGATGCTGCTATTAATAAATGAAAAGCGAGAATCAGTGTACCAAAGTGCTGTTTCTTGTCCACCCTAACTGGGCCTAAATTTTGATTCTAAAGGGTTCGAGGGAGAGTTAAAATGGTAGCCTGATCTCATTAGTGTTCATAGGATTTCATACATATGTCGACGTGTACATTTTTGAGCATTTGGACATATGCTGTCAAGTACAATATGGCCGTACCGACACATATAAAATCTTAGAAAGTCCTCAAGAATCCTATACATATATATTCATTAAAATTGTATTATAAATGTATTAGTATAGTTAAATTTTACTAATGCATACAGTAGATACATTTGAGAAGACAACATTTTAAATTGTAATTTAAATACAAAAAGTTGTGCTGCTTAATATTTTTCTCTTTGATGACTAGAAAGTTCAAAAGAACAGCTTTTATTTGAAAAATAAATCCTTCTTCTTCTTTATAGTCTATTTTGATGTGTCCTTGCTGAATAAAAGTACACATTTCTTTCAAAATTGTATTAATGCAGTGATGTGACTAGAAGAAAAATATATTTACAGTTCCCTGTTTACTAACAATTGTTGGACATTAAAACATTTAACATTAAAATACTTTGTTCACTAACTTTAGTTTGGACAGTAGCTGTTGGCATCTTTCTTATTTTCACCCACAAGATGCCAAACTGCTGCCGTGGTTACATGTCAACCACTGTGAGTTCGGGATAGCAGAAGTGACTCTTTTATTCTGCACAGACACAGAACAATAGGATTCACTCCTCCAAATAAATGCAGCTGCCACTCCTAAAACTTTGCAGGGAGTGAGTGGCCTGTGTGACTCTTGACAGGAGACATGGCTTTTATTCAGATGGTGCCGTCGTATCAGAATAGTAGAGTAAATGAAAAAACAGCATTCATCTTGCTCGAAGGCATATTGTGTGCAGTGCAGGTGTTCCTTTGACTTGTCTTCTCTGATGGCCTATGGCTGCACCGCTGTTCTCAGTGTCTGAGTGTCGGTAAATGACAGCTGTATGAGCATATTCCCTTGTGCATACTAAATATGCTTTTAAGGAAAATCAGTTCAACAGTAATAAATCAAAGATCAAGGAATGAGCTCAGGTAGGGTCACCTATGAACATGAAAATCACTGTGTTCTGGCCTTGCTTCAGGGGATCTGCTCATACTGAAATGAGCATACTCTATGGTGCTCGGTACACACGCTTTGACTGCCTGTCTAGCAATCAAATGGAATTATAGTGTAACACATGACAACTGCACTTTTGTATTGACATTTCAATCTGAAAAGTGTGCTGTTTGAAATCATGCTTCCTCACATTCTGTTCTTTACACATTAGAAATTACGAGAGAGAGGTGTACTGATTGGAGCCTATAATTCTTTAGGGTCACACAGGTTTTAGAAAAGTTCTGTTTCAATAGTTTGTGTTTTTCACAGATCTGCAATTCTCCAGGCTGCTGAATTGAGTGTGAACACTATTTATATTCAATGTCAGATTAATTTGGCTTTGATCCACAGGCAAAAAGTGGAGCGTGCAATGGGAATTGAGATGAAGTGGAAATGTTTCACTCCTCTGACCCTTGGTAACTCTGTGCTGATAACAGTGGCAGTCGAAGAGGAACTGAGCCAATTGCAGTTGGGAGTCATTCAGAATTGCTTTAACAAGTTTATGAAGCACTCAGAAACAGTGGCTCAGCAGAAGCAGCAGGAGCCAAAACATCTAGCTACTAAATGAAATGAGATGTTAAATCAAAACAACAAAGGCCTTCACATTCATAGACAAAATGAAATCTGATTCTTCAAATAACAACATTATAGATTCAGGCCACGAATGTTGCAAATAAAGGGCCATGATTTGAAATGCAACTGTAAACACCACAGAGTAGTTATCTTGTCTCTTGTGACTTTAATCAGTTATGCTGAATGAATATATTTTATATTATGTAATTAATATTTTATATGTAAGGCCCAAAAGTCCACAAACTATGCATATACAGGTGCATCTCAATAAATTAGAATGTCATGGAAAAGTTCATTTATTTCAGTAATTCAATTCAAATTGTGAAACTCGTGTATTAAATAAATTCAATGCACACAGACTGAAGTATGAGATGATTTTGGCTCACATTTAACAAAAACCCACCAATTCACTATCTCAACAAATTAGAATACTTCATAAGACCAATAAAAAAAACATTTTTAGTGAATTGTTGGCCTTCTGGAAAGTATGTTTATTTACTGTACATGTACTCAATACTTGGTAGGGGCTCCTTTTGCTTTAATTACTGCCTCAATTCGGTGTGGCATGGAGGTGATCAGTTTGTGGCACTGCTGAGGTGGTATGGAAGCCCAGGTTTCTTTGACAGTGGCCTTCAGCTCATCTGCATTTTTTGGTCTCTTGTTTCTCACACTTTTTCCTTCCTCTCAACTTTCTGTTAACATGCTTGGATGCAGCACTCTGTGAACAGCCAGCTTCTTTGGCAATGAATGTTTGTGGCTTACCCTCCTTGTGAAGGGTGTCAATGATTGTCTTCTGGACAACTGTCAGATCAGCAGTCTTCCCCATGATTGTGTAGCCTAGTGAACCAAACTGAGAGACCATTTTGAAGGCTCAGGAAACCTTTGCAGGTGTTTTGAGCTGATTAGCTGATTGTCATGTCACCTTATTCTAATTTGTTGAGATAGTGAATTGGTGGGTTTTTGTGAAATGTGAGCAAAAATCATCACAATTAAAAGAACCAAAGACTTAAACTACTTCAGTCTGTGTGCACTGAATTTATTTAATACACGAGTTTCACAATTTGAGTTGAATTACTGAAATAAATGAACTTTTCCACAACATTCTAATTTATTGAGATGCACCTGTAAATGTGTATGTCACTGCAAAGTTAAAACATATTATTTTTGATTAAAATATTTAAATCATAGCATGGTGATAAAAATGCAACATAACATAAGTGGATTTTTTATTTTATTTTTTTTTGGAGATACAGGTCCTACCTTCAGGTTCCCTGCGGCAGTCAGAACAGATTTGACAGCTCTCATGCCGTAATCATAGTGGTGCTGGGAAGAGAGCTGCTCAGAGCACAGTCTATACGTAGCTACAATCTTCACTGAGAGCGGTCGTGCTCTGACAAATCCACAGGAATACAGCACAATCTCAGCTATCAGAGCATAGTCTGGCACCATCATAGCCACTGTCCGGAAGAGAGCCTGCAGCAGACAATTACACAACATTCACAAACACAGAACAAGCACTATATGCGCCAATAAAACAGGACAGAAACACACAGTGAACAGTGACAGCAAGAAATAAAGAAACATTATAGAAACACTTTCAATGAACAATATGTACAGAATCATATTCATAATGAAAAATCATTTAATATAAAAATAATAATCATTAGATATTCTGTAACACTTTGCAGTACTCTCTAACTTCTCTACACTAACCCACTTACTTATGTTAACATTAACATAAGTTTTCATATATCATTTTCAGTGAGGCTATATATATTAATTTTCCTCTGGGAATGACACACTCAAAAAGTAAGCACATTCCATATGCAAAGCAAATCTTTGCATGAATTAGGTTCTCTACATGCCTTCAGGTTGTCAGGCAGCTCAGAGCGTCCTGCATAGCCAGGGTTCATTGTGATAAAGACAGCACAGGTAGGGTTCAGTTTCAGCTCTGTCCCCTCAAACTGCAGCATCTCAGCATGGGCAGAAATACCTGAAGAGAAAATAATAATGTACGCATCCAAACCAAAACAAAAGAAACCTCATTAGACTGACATATTTATGCAATTTAAGTATCCAAACACTTAATTTGACTGGACTCATCAGGTTCAGATGTAGGCATCTATTAAGCATTTAGGGGGTTTGGAGAACAAAAAAATCTGTAGCTCCATTGATTGAACCTTAAAATCCATTGTCAACATTTAACTCAAAATGTGCACACAAACACACACCTCTCTGGATGGTTAGAATTTGCTGAGCCACCACTGAAAGCACTTCCAGATCAATACGGTTGAACTCATCAAAGCAGGCCCAGGCACCGGATGACAACAAGCCCTGGAAGAGACCAAGTATCTTTATCATGACTTAAAGCAGATGTAGTCTGAACACTCCTGTGCTGCAAGATAACTGACAAAGGGTGAGCAGGATGACATTAAAACTCAAGGCCTTTGCAATTCTAAGCTCTCTGATTAAGATACAGCTGTGGCTCCCTGATAGTACTGAGGCTGTACAGCAAAAGCATTACAATCTTTGCTAGCATACCAAACTAAAAGGAAAACTAACATGCATGTTAAATATAGATATAGTGTGCCCTAAAAGTCTAAGACCACTAGAGAAAATAATTATATTTTGCTTTTATCTAAAATTTTCCAATACAATCTTTTTAAATTAAAAGGATAGTTCACCCAAAAATGAAAATTCTGTCATTAATTGCTCACCCTCATGTCGTTCCAAACCAGTAAGACCTTTGTTCATCTTCGGAACACAAATTAAGATATTTTTGATGAAATCCGAGAATGTTCTGACCCTGCATAGACAGCAACGCAACTGACACATTCAAGGTCCAGAAAGGTAGTAACATTGTTAAAATAGTCCATGTGACATCACTGGTTCAACAGTAATTGTATGAAGGTACGAGAATACTTTTTGTGCACAAAGAAAACAAAACCAACAACTTTATTCAACAATTCTTTACCTGCATGTCATCGTCCGCTGCCATTCACGAGAGTACCATGACGCATACATGTGCATTCCTCTGCTCATAAACAAGGCACAGTGTGTTCAAGGTGCATGCATCGTGCTACTCTCATTAATGGCGGCAGATGGTGACGCGGAGAAGAATTGTTGAATAAATTTTTTATTTTTGTTTTCTTTGCACACAAAAAGTATTCACGTAGCTTCGTAAAATGAAGGTTGAACCACTGATGTCATATATGTACTATTTTAATGATGTCCTTACTACGTTTCTTGGCCTGGGAACATTTCACTTTCATTGCTGTATATGGAGGGTCAGAAAGCTCTCAGGTTTCATAAAAAAAATAACAATTTGTGTTCCAAAGATGAACGAAGGTCTTACACACAGGCGTCATACCCATTCAAACCAAGGGGAGAGGATTTTGAGTCAAAAAGACAAAAAATAGCAGAATAATATTTTTTTATATTTTATACACTGGTGTGATTAGATCATTCAGTGCAGCACATCACCAGTTGCTAAATTCAAATCTGCATTCGCTGGCTGACGCTGAGCCAGAGACAGATGCGTTTTACAGCGCTATGCATTATAACCAATCACACACGATTCTGCGGAGCTTATCAATGCAATGACCAATCAGAGGCATTCAGATGAGTCATTGCTGAAACGCCAGAGTTTTGTTCACTCTGTGAGATTATATCAGTTATACAGTGCTATTTTTTGGGTGAAAAATCCCTTTAACATTCATTTTAAAATGCCTTAGTATTTGTATATGCTCCTCTTTTGCTTTAATGACAACAGAACTCAAAGTTTAGAGGAGCATCTTGAGTTTCAATGGAAGCAGTTTATTTATTTATACATACATACAGAAAATTAACATGGTCATTCTTATAATGAACTAGAAAATATTTTTATTCATTCTACTTTTCTTTTTTTTTAAATGTTCAAAATCATAAAACTTTTTATTTCCCCCAGAGTAATGTCTAACTGAACTTTGTATTTAGAAAAGCTCAATTTAATTAGAAATATTTTTGTGGGGTCAGTAATCTGGAAGACAACACAAGACATGGTGAGACAAGACAAATCTCATTATGAACTATTATTTCGAAAAGTTCATAACCTCTTTCTACAAGCAAACATTTTTTTGAGTCACAGATCGGATAATTTTTCAGATCAGCAAAAAAATGAAAAATTCTGAAAGCTTATTTTAAGTAACCACAGCAAAAACTACTATCTTAACTAATAAAGTCAGTAAAAAAACAAGAACAATTACACAAATTAGATGAATACAACATAACAGTTACAAATAAAGTCAGTAACAGTAGTATTCAGCTGCAGAAATTTAATAATTAAGTGTAAAATTACACAATAGTGCTCACCACACAAGTTAAATACAGATTAATCTCTGTTAAAGCTGTGGTGTTACTTGATTAGCAGACAGAAGCAGGTATTTATTGGCTGCTGTCTCTTTAAGACCAAACGCACGAACCTAATACTGACTGTGACGAGTGGGGGTGGGGCCGAGAGCCGTGGGAACGGAGCGAGGCCGGTGGAGTAATTGATAATGAGCGACACCTGCACCACTCACCGGTCTCGAGTCCCACGGAGGAGCCCCGGAAGGATAAAAGTAGGAGTGACGACAGTGTTGGACGAGAGAGGACCAGGCCTGGACTTTATTTTGTGTTTTGTGTGTGGCAGTCGTCCGCGAGGGGCAGTCACCGGCAGTCTCAGCAGCGAGGGCTCTCTGACAGCGTGTCCCTCCTTCCTCTCGTGTTTTGGCACCAATGTAACAACGTTTGTAGATCTGGGAAGGAGGCAGGAACCAGCGAACATTTAAACAAAACTTTAATCAAATAAACAAAACACAAAATAAAGTCCAGGTCTGGTCCTCTCTCGTCCAACACTGTCGTCACTCCTCCTTTTATCCTTCCGGAGCTCCTCTGTGTAAATTGGCAAGACAAAACATGTGCAAATGATAAACTTTCACTCTATGATGGTTAAACTTAACAGTTAATCTGCGAATCACATGCGTGCCGAACCGTGGGGCCTGGTCTGTACGGATCATGGACCATCTATGATTCGTTGCACCCCTAGTGATGGCCATGTCAGTCAGTGTTGTGCTGTTCTGTATGAGAGTTTTTTTCTAAAGACACATGATGCTTGACCTCATGTGTGTTATTAACCATCAGTTCATATTAGCATTTTCCACTAACCTAATGCCACATACTGTTATATTATTATGTTCTTTTTTATATATATATAAAACATTTTGCTGTGAGCTGAATATTTCAGATTTACATATAAATTGGCTAACTATTCATGACATGCATCATAATTATAGGTTTTGTAACACTAACCTTAAAGAATTTGCCCAGTGCAATGTAGTCCAGGCCATCAGAGCAGTTGAAGACTACACACTGCTTAGCTATGGCTTTAGCCAGATCTTTGGTAGTTTCAGTCTTGCCGGTACCTGCAGGACCCTCTGGGGCTCCGCCAAGATGTAAGTGTAAAGCTCCAAATAGAGTTCTGGTAAAGAAGACATGTTGAAAAGATGAAGCCAGAGTTCATATTCACCCAAAAAAAAATTTAAATCAAAAACCTTTACTGAATTTAATAATATTAATTGATAATTCAGATTGTTTCATTTTGAGAGATGAAAATAACAAATTACTATTCAAAAGTTTGGGGTCTGTAAGATTTTAAAATGTTTTTCAAATAAGTCTATTATGCTCTTATTCACCAGGGCTAAATTTATTTGATCAATTATCCAGTAAAACAGTAATATTGTGAAGAATTATTACAATAAAAAATACTTTCAAATGTAATTTATTCCTGTAATGGCAAAGCAAAAATTTTCAGCAGCTATTAGTCCAATCGTCAGTGTCACATGATTTGCTGTTCAAGAAACATTTCTTATTATTATGTTTAATAGAGCATCCTCTGGGTGCAGCCACACTGAAAACTACTGCCTTTGCTTTTTATGCATAATGTGAAGAATTCTGACCTATAGCAGCGATCAGTGAGAGGGGTGATGACCAGTCGTGGTGTGTTTCCAAGATACTCATAGCCGTATGCCAAGCCTGCATTGATCATCTTTGTCTGAAGCTGGTTTTCCTTCATAGACAGGGTCAGATCAAAGAGTCAAGAGGGGGAAAAAAAAATCAAGGCAGATTATCTGAGTGTCCAAAACAATAGCAAGACACAAATCATTTTCAATCACGCTTACAAACACTTAAATAGACTTACAATCCAATAGTAGCGTAGTTGGCTGAGCCACTCAAAGTTGGTCTCATCATCCACACCCTTCTGTACCAGAGAAGCCAACACGTCCCGTGCATGAACGTCAAGTACCACCAGTGCTCCAAGTGTTACTCGGTTCTGTTTGGATAGCGTGCCACGCACCAGAGTCACAATGTCATCTATCTGAGTATTGTTCTGCTCGAGATAGGCCTGAAGAGCCTGAAACAGAACACAGAAAAAAAATGCAGTCATAAGTACAGTAAGACAACTTGAAATGAGGCAGATAATAACTACACATTATCTTGGCTACTATATGGCTAATTGGCAAATAAGTAAATAGATATGAAATTTTAAACTGAGTTCAATTTATTGTATTATATGAAAAGAAAAGAAGACAAAAATATCATATCAGCTGCATGGACAACTGTCTAGTTTAGCTGGTCACTATGCACAAATACATAGTAGAACGCCATGAATCACCAGTAAGAATGAAGTATTCCACAGAGCTCTGCAATAAAAGATAATATTGCTACTGTATGTATGTATAACATACCTTCGGCCCCTTTGCAATGGCTTCATGAATGTCCTTTGTCCAGTAAACCTGTGACACACAGAGCACTGTCTGACCTGGCCAGGCCCTGACCCAGTTGATCCTTAGGTCTTTGGGATATGCTTCAAATGCCTCTCCAATCACCTGACAGCCAGGAGTCAAGAGAGCAGTAAGCATTTTACAGTTCTAAGAATGGCAGAGACATGAATATGAAGACTGACATGAAATTCATCTACTCATAGCTTGAAACCATGATCCTAAATTAAAATGTTACCCCTTAGAGTTCCATAATGTTTAAGGTAAAAAAGTTGAGATTTTAATGTTTTTATTTTGAGTAATTCTGTGGTGTGGAGAGGAAATGTAAGTGTCTGAAAATAAGGCTGTAAATACATTTGCGTTTATTATGCATGTTTTTAAATAGCATTTTCTTTCACTTTGAGGTTATAAAGATTTTGCGTTCATAAGTAGAAAAAAACTATTAAATATATAGCCCTAATGCTTCAAAATGCTTCCAAATATATATATATATA